CCTGAATCTATCTTTCTCCTTTGCCAATTGTTATGCCTCTTACTATACATTTTAAAACAATTTTTTAGCAAACAACAATTAAATAAAATTCAGATTTTCTGGTAACCACGTTGATGGAGCAAAGTAACCCAGCAAATCAACCTACCATTTAATTATGAAGCCTGAATTCACAAATGTAGTTACCATTGAGAAATGGGTTGAATCTTCTGGCTGAGTAAGCACACACAAGTGAGTAACAGAGCAAAGGGCTATGTGTAAATGAACCTACCACCTTAAAATGTATTTACTCTTGCCTATAATTTACGTGTTAAATTTAATGGAGTTTTGGTTCCAATGTGACACACAATGTAAAAAATCAATATAGATTTGAGAGCTTTATAGTGCCCCTGGCAAGTATGAATGGCACTTGATGAAACGTGAAGGTTTTCACAGCACCTACAGTGCCACTGCATTGGAGTAAATTAACACCACATAGTTCATAGATATTTATACCAATTCTTCACTAGCACTTAGAACAGTTCTTTGTCATGGTTTTGTACCATGATGTCCTGGAAGAATATAGAGACACTTTTATTACAAGCCCTTATTTAAGGGATTTACAATTCTGACAGAAATATTCTCTTCTGGGATAAAAGTTAGTCTGCATATTCTCAAACCTGGAGGAATTTTTTCTCTTGTAAAAACTGGTCAACATGTTTCCCCTAAGAAATAAGCCAAAAAGAGTTTTGAGGTTTTTTTTTTGGAAATAATTTAATTCACCTTTAGAAAATAAAGTGCATTTAAAATATAAAATTTGGTGAGCACTTTATTTGTAATCTGTACAGTTGCATTTTGTGATTTAATATGAGCCTAAATGGTAACATTTAAAAGTGGTCTATTTGTAAGCACTGCAACTGCATTTTCATAACATTTTAGCAGATTATGGGATAAACTCCACTGAAGACAATGAAGAAACCTTATCAAATGAGCATTTCACATAGACTTACTGTAGATTGGAATTAAGCCCTACTAATGAATCCTGCCTCATTTGCATGGCCAAAACCTAATCCTAATGAAACTTCATGGTAGAAAATGAACATGTTTTCTCCACAGTTACATTAATTTTGTATTAAAACTGTGATGGAGTGCAGATCCTGACTTTCATTTGGCAGAGCATAATGCATCTGGGTTTCCCATACATGAACATCCTGGTTAGAACTAGGTTATGCTTATGAATCGAGAGTGGAATGCAACTGTATCTGAAAACAAATGCATCTGGTTTTCCTACAGAGATACATTAGAGGATAGATATGAGTTATGTTAATGAATCTAGATTTATTAGCAGGGATCACATGTGATCTCTATGTAACACTGCAGGAGATTCATCAGCTACACCTTATTAAACTAAACAAACCCTTAAATCTAGAAACTAAAAGACTATAAATTAAAGCACATGCTTTTACTCTGTTACTGTAATAAGCAAAACAAACTAAAATGATGAACTGAAATCCCACTATCAACCCAAACTGTGTTTTAAAGTGGTGTCAAACACCTTTCTGTATTAGAATGAGGTACTCCAGTTGTTTAGGGATAGAGTCTTCAAGTGAGGCACATGCATGAAATTGCACCCCTAAATGCATATATGTCTAGTTTATGTTTGCAAACAGTTATCATATGTGAAGGAGTAGATTTTCAGAAGTGTCTAAAAGAAATTATGCATACAACTCTTATTGACTTTTAGTGGAAGCTGGTCACGACTACACAAAACGCTGACTGAGCTGTAGCTCATTACTATTAGCACAAAGTGTGATGCAACACTGCTGCACAGTAGTAACAAGCTACTGCTAAGTAGTAATGAGCTACTGTGCAGTCAGCGCCACCAAGAAGCCATTCGGGGATGCTACTGCACAGTAATGCCTGTTACTGTGCAGTCATTTGGTACTTGTGTATGCAAGTACTAAATCACTATGCAGTAACAACTGTGCAGTCGGCATCTCATGTAGACGTGGCCACTGTGTTCTTAAAACCTTTAGATATCTGAGGGGGGACTGAGGGGGCAGTTTGCCACCCTGACCCCCTAGCCTGGGAGGTCTGCTACATCTCAGGGGCCCTCATCTGGGACATAGCTGAGAGGATCCCAAAGATTATCCGGCCCTCTGACCACTACCCTATGCTCCTTATCCATGTGGGCACGAATGACACGACTCGGAGCAATCTCAGTCAGGTAATGAGAGACTACAGGGCTCTGGGAGTGCGGCTTAGAGGGTTGGGGGCACAGGTGGTCTTTTCCTTGCTCCTCCCAGTTGTGGGTCATGGGGTGAGGAGGGAGAGACAGGTTGAGGTAGTCAACCAGAGACTGTGCCACTGGTGTCATCGTGAAGGCTTTGGCTTCCATGATCACAGCCTGCTCTTTGGTGAGGGAGGCAGTGGGCTGCTGGGAAGATAAAGCCTCCACCTCACTCCGCTGGGGAGGAGGCTTTTCTCAGCCAGACTTGCTGACCTGCTCGACTGGGCTTTAAACTGAGCCCGCCGGGGGATAGCGGGGTGTACTGCCACTGCACGCCCACTGGGCACCTTTTGTGAACCCAACAAGCTAAGGCACTCAAGGGAACCCACCCCTACCCCAGCCCCACAACGATCTGTAGGAAAGGCAAGGGCCCCCAGTGGGACACTTACTTGCCTGTACATCAATGCCAGGAGCCTGGGGAACAAACAGGAGGAACTGGTCCTCCTGCTAAACCAAAAGGATTATGATCTCATAGGAATAACGGACACCTGGTGAGACTCCACCTATGACTGGGCCACAGATATAGACAGCTATACCTTGTACAGGAGAGATTGTGTGGACAAAAGGGGTGGGCGGGGGTAGGTCTCTATGTCAAGGAAAGCTATGCATCCCTGCAAGCTGACATTGACACCCAGGGGGGACGATTGGAGACTCTTTGGGTCAAAATCTGTGGTGAACAAGGCACAGGGGACACAATGGTGGGAGTCTACTTGACTTCAATCCCTGGTAAGATTCTGGAAAAAACCATCAAAGAGACCATTCTTGACAAACTGGCTGAAGGCAACTTCTTGAGGGATAGCCAGCACAGTTTTGTTGCAGGTAGGTCTTGCCTGACCAATCTCATCTCCTTCTACAACCAGGTGATATATCACCTGGACAAGGGAAAAGAGATGGACATCATATATCTTGACTTTAAAAAAGTTTTCTATCTGGTATTCCACAATTGTCTTATAGCCAATTGCAAAACTGGCCAATTGCAGCCTCGGCTACATCACAGTCTGCTGGCTGGGGAATTGGCTTCAAGTTTGGACCCAGAGAGTGGTAGTTGACGTAAATCAATCATTGTGGTGTGCCATGACCAGTGGGGTCCCCCAAGGCTCCGTCCTTGGGTCTATCCTTTTCAACATCTTTATTAACGATGTGGACATTGATGTCAGAATTGGTCTGGCCATGTTCTCTGATGATACCAAACTTTGGGGTAAAGCATCCACACCCAAGCACAGGATGGTGATCCAGACCAACAGGCTCAGAAAATGGGCAGATGAAAACCTAATGGCCTTCAACTGCAAAAAAATGCAAAGTACTCCACCTTGGGAAGAAAAAAACCGCAGCATGCTATATGGGCTCGGCAGTGTTATACTTATTAGCACCATGGCTGAAAGGGACTTGGGGATCATGATTGATCACAAGATGAATATGAGCCACCAATGTGATGTTGCGGCCAGCAACATCAAGAAAAACTCTGGCTTGCATCCATAGATGCTTCTTTAGCAAATTGCAGGATGTCATCCTCCCACTGTACTCGGCCTTGGTGAGGCCACACCTGGAGTACTGCATCCAGTTTTGGGCTCCACAATTCAAAAAGAATGTGGAGAAGCTTAAGAGAGTCCAGAGAAGAGCCACGCATATGATCAGAGGGCAGGATAAACAGGCCTTATGATGAGAGGCTGAGAGCTACAGGACTCTTCAGCCTGGAAAAGCACAGGCTCAGTGGGGACTTTGTGGCTGCCTATAAGGGGTGTACATCAGGATCTGGGGGGAATGCCTGTTCACCAGAGTGCCTCATGGGATGACAAAGTCAATGGTCACAAACTTCTCCAAGACCGTTTCAGGCTGGACATAAGGAAAAACTTCTTTACAGTCTGAGCCCCCAAGACCTGCAACAGACTACCGTCAGAGGTGATGCAAGCACCTACTCTGGACTTCTTTAAGAGTCAATTGGATGCTTATCTTGCTGGGATCCTGTGTCCCCAGCTGACTTCCTGCCCCTGGGGCAGGGAGGTAGACTCAATGATCTTCCAAGGTCCCTTCCAGCCCTAATGTCTACGAAATCTAAGAAATCTTCAAAAATCTCTCTTACACTAATTTCTTTGGTGTGTTCCCAATTGGTTAATCTGGCCCATAATGTCTTAAATATTAAGGGTCAGAATCTCAGGGACCCTCAAACATGGCTCTTTGCACCTAAGGAGACTAGGCTGAAGGATTTTCTTGCCTTACCACCTCTGTGGGTTTATTCAACCACTGAAGCTGCTCTAACTTGTATTGGCTGAGGCCATTATGTTGGCTACAGCTCCCTGGTGTACAATACACTTAAACCACACCCCTCTCCTTTTTTGGCATACCACTGCAATGCCCAGATAGCAAGGTATGGCAAAGAACCTCTTTCTAACCGATTTCAAATTTTTGTTTTCACACATGCTAACATAGGAATATCCACATTTTTCCAAAAAGAGGTTGATATTTGAAAATATAGCTTTCATGGGTCACTGGTGGCCAAAATCCATATCCTTTCAAGATACAGTTCCTACAGTTTAGGAAAACACTGTCCTTTGGATATATGCAATGCTTTAGTCAGTAAAGTTAAGCTCTTATATCACTGCATGAGTCTTCTGATAAACGGCAGAAAAATATTGTAAGAAATACCTGTAAATTCTAAATTTCCAATTAACTTAGAATTTATCAAGTAGCTATTAATTTCCAGGTTTTACTCCAAAATATATAAAACAAAACACACCTTTGATAAGTCCCTTTTCTTGCAAAGTTTTCAATGAAGGTCTTCGGGAGATGAATTTCTTTAATCTGCTTTTCACTCGGTTTCTATCAGTTGTATCAGATGTACTGTAGTTCAGTCTAAAAACTGGGGAAAAACAAAAGAAACTTTCAGTAAGGCTGCATTTTTAAAGTAGCATTACTTTGTAGTAACATCATTAGAAAACACTGGCAAAATCCACCCTTGGGAAGATAGCACAAAGTGTTTGATTAATCTTTTTATTTTTGTGAATAAATATAATGAGTTCATTCTGCTGTTATTCACAGCCTTGTATTATTTATTGCTCATAAGCATTTGGACATCCACCAGTTTACTCATGAATCCTACAAGTTTTGCATGGATGATAATTCTACTGAAAGTTCCAAATAGATGTATGCGATATGCTATTTGCTATCTTCTACTTGTTATGAGAAGGTGCGGGATGGTCAACCTCTCAACACTGGTGAATCCTGTGGCCAAGGGAAATTACGCATAATTTTAATTTTAATACAGTTGTAGAGAACATGGCTAAATGCCAAGAAATGTGTAGAAGATGCATTAATGCATGGAAGAAAAAGTTTCCCAATTTTTGCTGTTTCATTTTGTTTTATTGTATTTAGGTATTTACTCCAGTGAGAAACCTTGAGCAGAACATAGAAAGCACTTGTAGAAAATATACTGAATGAAGCTGTGATGACTCAAATCAGTTCTTCCTGCCCCTCTGGGCTGAGGTGCCCAGAGGAGACCCTCAAAATCCCCCTAAATTGGCAGTACTTGTGGGGAGAGTCACATTCGAGTCATCGTCATTCCATCATTTGGCATTCAGTCCATCTTCAATGCCAACACTTTCCCTCCTGCATTCAGAGAAACAGGTAAGGATTCTGTGCAGAAAACTCTAAAAGATTCCCTAACCTAGTGAATCCCAGGAGATGGAGGGAGTGTATTTGTATGTAGTATCAGACAGTGGCATCTGGCCATCATCTCTCATGGGGCTTTTCCAGTTTCTTTTTCCCTCTGCCTCTAGATATCTCTAGGGTCCTCCGAGGGTTATGTGAAAATGAGAATGCAGCCAAAGCTTTGATAGCGTTTTCTGTGTAAAGTCTCCAGGATTATATGGATATAATTTTGGTGTCCTACCTCACTCATTTTCTTCTGTATTTCCTTATATCAGCATTTCTTAACTTTTCTAGATTCAAGTACACCTTGTTAGGCTCAAGGCACACCTCATTAGGCTCAAGACACCCCATGGAAAATGTCAGCTCTTACTTTTCACTCATGTTTTGACTAGGGAAAACAGTATAGCAACTTTTTCTAATGCAAATAACTCATAAAGACTAGAACAGGTCAGAATTTTTTTTAATAGTATGGATTCTTATTTGAAATTGTTGGCTTCATTTGCACACCTAACAGTACTAACATTGCATGACTTTCTGCAGCATCCCAAAAAGGATCTCAAGGAACCCTAGGGTGCCATGGCATCCTTACTGAGAATAACTCCCTTAAATGGATCCCAATTCTGCACAAAAAATCTTGCCACAAAGGTTCAACCATTCTGCACGGAGAAGGAAAAACACACAAAGTACTTCTCGTGCTTATCTAAGAAGGATGATCCATCCATCCGATAACTTAGCCATTGTTTCCTAGTACACAGTATAACTTAAAGAACTTCGATTGCATGCTCTGTCCCCCGCTTTCCCTCCATCCCCCCACTCAATACTGAAATCTCTCCCATGATGTAGTAGCTTTCACTAATAGAATCAGCGAAACGAATTATAGAGGAATGTGATGATATAGATTAAGCAGGAATTTATTTTAGCAAGCAGCTTTACATAAATTATAAATAAAAATAGAATTTTAAAAGGTGGACAATTATAAGACAATAGTGAGTTGAAGGATCTTGTTAAACAACAGTAAAAATCTTGGAATATTGTGGTTTATATTACAAATCTGATTTTAACAGCCAAACTTCTAAAATGGTTTACACTTTGCTGTTGTCAAGGGAGCAAAACTTGCCAAATTGTTCATATTAAGTAAATACAACATAGCCAATTAAGGAAGGCAACGTTTAAATACATGCCTATGATAATCAGAGCATAGTTTGCTTCTGATTTCACTACTGATTTTAATAGAAGAGCGCTCCATTTTCCCACAGCACTACAATGACCCCACACATACTTCCACAAATTAGTAATCACACAGGACAAATAAAAAGGACACTTTACTGGAAAATACACAGCTTGGCACAATAATCCATCACTTATGAAAAATAGAATTCACATTTTTTAATGGTAGCATTCTTAGGGTGATGTATCACAGAATATAAAGATTAGCATTCAATTGATGGTTGGCTCCTTTTTCACATCATAGTTTAGAACTTTTTGTTCAAAACTGAGCAATCGCTGGCAGGGATAGGTTAAAATTCCAAGTTACTCAGCCTTGCTATAAAAAGAATAACAAATGGATGTTTCTAATTCTGCATCTTAATGGTACTCTGAAACACTAAAGTGATTGTATTTTGTTCTCTGACTGTCATATGGCTTCGATTCATTCTCTCCAATAGTTCATATTTTTTCTTTTCACCCTTCTGCTCGGGTGAATGTTACCCACTTCAAATATGATGGAAATAACTCCATTCAGTTACTTGATGCTTGTGATACTTCTTATTCTTCTGGATTTTGAACTACTTATAACTTAATTCCTAGATATATTCTTGGATGACATTGTCAAACCTAACTGTACCAAACAATCTGACTGAACTGAATGTGGTTCACATTAAAAATGGTTAGATGGAGGATCAAGGATTTGATTAGTAGGGCAAATATTCATTATGTTCAGAAAGCTGTATTAACACAGCTGTATGGTTTTATATATAAAACAGCAATTATGGTATTAAAACTACATCTAAATGTTAGAATAATTATTGTCATGGACACTTATTGTACATTTTGTATCATATTGTATGTAGCATGGAGAAAAGAGCAGCAAAGTCAATTTTGATGATTTCTAATATTATTATAGTAAGCCTATATGAGTCACCAGAGGGGAAACTCCAAGCCTCCCAGAATTTCACAAGTTTAGATAATATGATCCAGAATGAAGCATCAGCCAGAAATTTTCTCGCTGGGATCTTATTTAGAAATATCCTTTTTTTTCTTGCCAAACCACTGTTCTCATGGTATCCCCAAGTTAAAATGGCTTTGTTTTTATATTTGGGAATTGAAAGAAAATGGAATGTTGTTTCCAAGTGAAAACAATGTCACTATACATCAGAAAGACCATAATACAGAAATTTACTTTTCTGCAAATTTTAAATTGTAGATGTGGACAGTGAAGGTCTCCGTTAATCGAAGGTTGCAGAGTCAGCCAGATTAAATAAAAGCAACATACAGAACTGCAGAGCTCTTTAAGAGGGAAGTAAAACAGGACATTTCTAGAAAGTCTAACTAATTATCAAAGAGAAAGAAGTTAAAGTAACACTTGTTCTGTATTCTTCCAGCATTCATTATAAAGAGATATTTGGATTTCTCCTGGGACAAAACCTGGCACACTTGGTTTAAACTGCACTAGGACAGATGCACATAAATCCCTGCAGAACAAAATGCAAACAGTATCATTATTTTTTCTCAGTGCATAGACTATCCTTGCTGGAAACAGAAAACATTTGTGAGAAAAGAAAAGGAAAAGCAAGCCTGCCCTTGCTTTGTCAGTAAACCACTACAGAGTGTGTAGATGGATACTACAAAAGGTGCAACTTCATTGTAAATTTTGCCTTGGTAAAAATGAGTGCTGGAACTTCATTCCAGCAGCACGAAGACAACAAGTACAGTCTGACTTCCAGACTTACCTTCTGGGTAAGCATGGTTCTCCCAGGCTGTAATGGAATTGTATCTATGACTTATGAAGGCAGGATTTGGCTACTTTATTATTGTTTATTTATTTATGTAGTCCCATAATTGTACAAGGCCCTTTACAGACAAATGAGGAACCAACATCCCTTCCTAGTGGAATTCACAATATGTTTTAGGATTAAAAATGTGATAGAATGACAACAGCTATTAAGATTAGCTAACTGTGGTAGTAATGGGTGCAAGAAGGACATGACAAACAGTGGGAGGCAAAAATTGGTTTTGAGGTATAATAAAATGATGTCTTCTGGTCCTAAATGTTTATTAGCATTTAAAAAAAATTAACTGAGATAGAGAAGAGTAAAGCTATAGTCTAATTCAAGGCTGTCCAAATTTTAAGTGGATGGGAGCTGCAGGCTCCCCCAGCCACACAATGAAGAGGCTGCACACCCGTAGGCTGCATGTTGTACGCTACATGTTGTGCGGGCCATAAGCTGTACCATGTGAAACCCCCACCACACCACACAGCCCGTAACATGCCATGCAAACCCCTGTTGCACCCTGTGGATGTATCACACCACACAGGCCCCCAGCATGCATGGATACAAAGTTCAGTCCTGTTGCATGGCCCTCCCCTGAGCAACTTGCACTGTACTGCACCAGTATAGATGTTGTGCAGGGTCTCCAGACCCCCCTGAGCCTTCAGACCAAGGATTCCTTCAGTCCCAGAGACTGTACTCTGTCCCCAGGTGTAGGGACAGTCAACAGAAGCTAGGGAAAGCAAGCAAAGGGGAAAGTGCCACCCAGATGAGGATCTCAGTGACCATAGTTTAATCACTTGGGGCTTTTATAGATGGTTTGGAATGGGGGCAGCAAAGTCACCCCCAAGTGGTCACCTGGATCCCCACCTTGCTTACCGCTTCTGGCCTCTCAGGGTCCCATGTTACTGTCTTGTCTGCTACACGTTGATGTTATAAGTGGAAAGGAAGTCTGCCCCTAGAGGGCAGGTGTTTTCATATCAGTTCTCAAGTCCTTGTCTGGGTTAAGGCCCCCTGGTCTTGGCCCACTTTATTCTGGCTGGGCCCCTCCACCCAAGGTCCACTGTCCCAGAACCCTAGATTTGCAGAGTCTGGCCTTCTTAGGCTCTGGGCTCCTGGGCAGTATTTTCTGCCTGACATCCTAGTCCTTCTGATGACAGCAGCACTCTCCTCCTTTGAAGGGTTTAGGACCTGCAGTGTCCCTGGAACCCTTCTCAGTGGCCTC